CCTGTGCATTTCTCTTCATTTCAATTAGTTTAGCCTTCATATGTTCCTGTAATTTGTGACTAAAATCAACCAGTTCTGTGAGCATCCTGATCACCAGTGTTTTGAACTGTGCATCTGAAAGTTTGGCTATTTCTTGGTCGCTTAAATTTATTGGCTCTGGGGTTCTGAGTTCTTGAGCCATGTTTTAATCTGTTCTTGCCTGTTAGGTATGAGGAGCAGAGCCTTAGATGTTCACCAGGGCCAAGCCAGCCAGGTCACGGGGTTGTGATGCTGTATGTGGGGGAGTGGTCAAAGAGGGGCAATAGTGGTCCCCTCTGCTGCTTCCTGCCACTGGGGCCTACACAGTCTGTCTCACTGCTCACTCCTTCACTGGTTTATCTGCAAGCAAATGTGTGACTGAGATCAGCCTGCCGCCTTGTGTCCTCACTGGGTCCGTCCCTTGCTACCCCACACCTGGGAGCCACCCACAACTGCCTGTGAGCCTGGGTTGGGGGATCTTTCCTGCCCAACCCACACCGCAGCTGCTGGCTCCGCCCCTCTTACTGGTCTGGCTGAACAGTTTCATTTTTGTCAGACTTCCGTGTAGTTCAATTTTCTGTGTTTTTGCTGTGTTTTTTGTTACTAAAACTTTATTGTCTTTAAACTTGGTTGTGCGAGAAGGTACAATGTTTCATTCAACCTATGCCTCCATCTTGGCGGAAATCCTCTTATTGTGGATAACAAGTATTTTTTCAGGGGTTCCAAAAAAACTTTTTTGTTTCACTGTCTATCTCTTTTGTTGTCCACATGTACTGGGTATTTTGAATACTAAAATTCTGCTTGTTAGGCCACTCATATCAAATATTAACTACATCATTCTGAAAAATATGGTATTTGCAAAATTTGAAGAACTGTTTACATTTGCTGCCTTCCTTTCCTCATTTCTAATTTACTTTTTTTTTTAAGTCAGTCTGTGCTTTTATTGACTACTTGAGAGAGATGAAGCAGGAAGAGTGGGTGGCCCCAGTGCCGGGCCGACCATGCTTCACTGGCTTATAGGTGATGGAGAACTCGCCCAGGTAGTGGCCAATCATCTCCGGCTTGATTTCCACCTGGTTGAAGGTCTTCCCATTGTACACGCCCACCATGCTGCCCACCATGTCTGGCAGGATAATCATGTCCTACAGGTGTGTCTTCACCACTTCAGGCTTCTCCATGGGCGGTGCTTCCTTCTTTGCCTTGCGCAGGTGCTTTAGCAGTGAGGGCTGCTTCCTCCAAAGGCCGCTGTTCAGCCGCTGCTGCTGCCTGGCACTGTAGAGCTGCATCAGCTGCTCATAGGACATGTCAAGTAGTTGATCAAGATCCACGCCACAATAGGTGAACTTGTGGAAGGTCCACTTCTTCTTCTGCTCCACTTCCGCCATCTTGTTGGTTCTTCGGAAAGGCTCTAATTTACTTTTTACTCTTGAAAGACAGCTTCAATCTCTAACACTCTATGAACTAATGAAGGTTATTGGTGCCCCAATAATCGTGAGATATAAACATGTGTTTTAATATTTCATCCTCTTGAACATTTTGCATTTAAAATTTTTTATTTTATTTATTTATTTTTAGAGAGAGGAGATGGGAAGGAGAAAGAGTGGGAGAGAAACATCAATGTGTGGTTGCCTTTCATGTGCCCCCACTGGGGACCTGGCTTGCAACTCAGGCATGTGCCCTGACTGGGAATCGAACCAGCGACCCTTTGCTTCACAGGCCCATGCTCAATCCACTGAGCTACACCAGCCAGGGCCATTTTGCAGCATTTTATTCTCTTGAGAATCCTCTCTTCATGTCCCTGACCCCATGCCCCCCTTTTTGTGGCACTGTTTGGTTTATAGGAAAGCATATTTTCTAGGTTATTCCCATATTCCTAGTCTCTTCTATTTCTTCTCTGATAATCATGCTTCAGAATTCTGTCTACTTCCTTCTTAATTAGCAAACTCTCTGTTGTCAATGTCAACCAACCCATAGGTCAGGACAGGCCAGGGACATGCCAGATGAGGCCATCAGGATACATAATAAACAATCTGCCCAGTTCTTCTAGGACCACCTATTCTGTAGAACATTTTTTTTTCTCCCAAACCATTTTCCACATACCTAAACTACTGTCAGTGATTCTGCAGGTAAGCAATACTTGATTGGTATAACACAACTTTACAAAACTATTCTACCCAGCACCTAATGATGCAAATCTTCTCTATCTTGATTGGTTAGTAATGTGGGGAGTTTCCAATCTGGGAGAGGCCAGAAAGGTGTACACATGATGAATAATTTTTGACTGAGTTGTATAAGGGCAAGCCCCATTCTGAAGAGGTTGATGGTTTTCCTGTCTCATTTTTTCCTTCCAGAATGGGTTCTGGGTGGGTTCCCTGGGTGGTATCTCTGCCAGTGCATCTAATTAGGCTGGATTCCTCTATGACTTAAGGAATTCCTCTATGACTTAAGAGACTGTCCAGGTAAGAACAGAGTGATTTTTTTCAGGTGTGTGTGCAATGATTGGTATGGGGGAGGGTTGCCTTTCTGTGTAGGTTCAGGCTACAGGCAACACTGGGAGTGGCTTCTGGCTTTCAGGAGAATGTTCTTCCCTTTGACAGAAAAATGTTTCTTCTTCCCTCTTCACCACACACAATAGACTGTTGGGAAAGGGAATTCTTGTACCAGAGCCACAGATTCAAGGAGTAGTGAGGCAGGAAGAAGGGCAACATTTTGTCTTGCTTATCGTTTTTATTGCATCAAGGTCAGTCAGGAGGCAGTCTGAGAAAAGCTGCCATTTTTTGTGGAGAATTTGCTCTGATGATTATGACTGTTTCTATATTTATCCAACTGAGTTATATATGGACACAAGAAATTGGAAATGGGTTGCTTCTTTTGCATTTACTAAGCCCATGTTATATGGTTAGAATAGTACCACACAATTTTGAGAAATTGAGAAGTTGAGTACATTATCCCTGTCTGCAGGTTATAGGGTATATGTATTAATTGCTGTTATTTTTCTAGCTGAGGAGACAGGCTATGCAAATCTGAAGCAATATTACACAACGAAAACATAATTATCAGCATAAAACAGAATAATGTGCTCAGAATGAAACCCTCTTGAAAGTCTCATGACAAAAGAGGAAAAAACCTGGAGGTTGGGGTAGGGTGGAGAGTGGGTAGGAGATCATTGTTCTTAGACAACAGAAACCTCTTTGAGATTACAATGTCAATGAAAGGACACAGAGGAAAAAAATCCAGCCCATGCCTTAAGTCTGAACCAGAGGTATGGTAATTAAAAAAATACCATGTTTTGCTATGTAAATGAGCAGTCCCATTTTTGACCCAATCTTTCAGGGAAAATAATCTTTTGTCTTAATTTTTAAATTCAATTATTTATTTATATTTAGAAACAAGGCTGATTATCATATTCCAGGGTGTTATTTTGTATAAGGATATTGTTATTGCTTTCTAGAGTTATACTTTTAATGCATAAGTATAAATAAAAGAATTAAAAACATATAGATATGGAATTATACCCATGTATAATGCACATCCCTATTATTCTCTCAAATATTGGGGCAAAAAGTGTGCATTATACATGGAAAAATATGGTATTTTTCCTATTTTGACTGTAAGAAGGAATAGAGAACAGGAAATGAGAGCCTCCTCTGAAATTAGCATTTGAGAGAGAGAGAGAGCAGTGTGGTGACCCAGGAAAGATCCTGCTGCCCTGACAGCTCAGCTCAACTCAGCGGTTCCTGGAGGAGGCCTCTGAACTGGGAAATGAAAGTAAATTTGCAACTTAAGATCAGTAACAATGGTCTTTCAAGTCTCAACTTCAATGCCCTTTCTTCAGGGATGTCTTTTCTGCCAACCTGCATTATTAACCACCTAAATTTCCTTTTATTATTGTTCTCAAGTGCATAGGAGGGAGGTACTCTGACCCAGTGAGTTCCCAGACATTGCAGTCATTGGTGAGTGAAAAGACCTCCTCCTCCCTTCCCTTGTTTCCATTCTCACCCCTCTCTTTCTCAGATATCTATTTTAATAGGTCTGGTATGTTTTTAAGTATGAGGGTGGCCTTTAAAAACATAGCACTGTTTATTCTGAGCGCATTTTAAAATTTTAACATATGTCATTGTCTGTTGAATCATGTTTTCTTTTTCTCACTTAATACTATGCTTTCGAGTTCTCCCTCAGTGTTGCTGTATGTGAATTCAAACCCACCCCTGTCAGTGGGGAAACAGGTCAGGGAGGGTCTGCGTCTGTTTCTGTGTAAAACAACTGGATTTAGAACTAGAACTCATACCGACTGAGACTACCTCAGAGCCATTTACCAGTATGTGTCTTAAACTTTCCGAGTTCTTTAAATCTAAGACAAATATCACTCACTGTCTTAGTCTGTTTGAGCTGCTATAACAAAATGCCACAGACTGGATGACTTATAAACAGTAGAAATTTATTTCTCACAGTTCTGTAGGCTGGGAAGTCCCAGATCAGGTGCCAGCATGGATGTGTTCTGGTGGAGCCTGTGTTCTGGTGGAGGTTCTCTTCCTGGTTCACAGCTGGCGCCTTCTCACTGTGTCCCACATGGTGGAAGTGGTGAGGGATTTCTCTGGAGCCATTTCTATAACAGCACTAATCCCATTCATCAGGGCTCTACCAACATGGCCTAAAGCATCCCCAAAGGTCCCACCTAATGATACTATCACCTTCAGGGTTTAGAATTTTGATACGCAAATTTGGGGGAATATAACATTCATATTATAGCATACTGCTCTACAAATAAGCCACACTTTTTCTTAAACTGTCCATGAGAACTGACTAAATAGCTTTGAAAAATTAAGTTACTTTGCAGAACATAAATAGATTAGAAATGAGGTATTAAAGCTAATGCCTGGTGTGGAGCTGTGGAACAGTGGGCCTGATATATTGGAGAGAAGTAGAGCTTCTGTAGTAGTGGATGTGCTCTGAAGACACAGCTACAACCTTGGGGCACCCTTCCCTGTGGGGAGAGAAGGTGAGGTGGAGGGTGGGATTTGGGATTTCCAGCCATTATTCTTCTTCCTTGTCAGGAAATTTCCTGCTTCAGGATAAGTGGATTAGGAGTCTGGGAGTCTGCGTATAAATTCTGTCGCAACTGTGACTCAATCATCCTCATAGATCAGTTCTCTTGATTTTGGTCACAGGCCCCCAGGTTCTCAGGGACTTTAAGGACAAGTGTGCTGTCAAACAGTACAGGGGTTAATTGTGGGAGTGTCTGCTAATGCCGACATCCTCCTTGGTGTGGGGGTGGGGGTGACTTATCTGGTTTTAAGATTTTTTCAGATTTCCAGTTTCTGAGAGAGTGGTCTGGGAAAGAGATTAGGGACAGAGATAGTCCCCAAAGAAACTCCAGAGTTGGCTTTGTGGTTTTCCCTCATAACGTCTGAGTTCTCTCTCCCTTCCTAGTGCAACCAGAGGTGACAGCGTATCTGGAAAGACCCCCAATGCTGTGCCACTTCAGTGTGCTGCTGTGCTCTGTGACAGGCTTCTATCCAGGGGACATCAGAATCATGTGGTCCTGGAATGGGCAGGAGGAGAGACGGGGTCATGTCCACTGGCCTTACCAGGAATGAAGACTGGACCTCTCAGACAGCGGTGAGGCTGGAGACGACTCCAGAACTGGGAGATGTCTACACCTGCCTTGTTGATCATGTCAGCCTGCTGAGCCCTGTTTCTGTGGAGTGGAGTGAGAATCTGGGTTGTACTGACTGAGGAGGGGCCTGTGTTAACCCCACACGCACCTCAGTCACAGCACTTATTCTTTCCTCCTGATCTGAGGGAGTTAGGGGGTCACTGATGTCCTTGAGGCAAAGTGGGAGAAAACATGGCAGATATCTACCCTTAATCTTCCAAGAAATAAGGAGGTCTAATCACCTTGTCACTTACTTTCAGCACTGGGAGCTCATATCCTCTAATACTTTGGTCTTGGTGCTTAGGGAGCATTCTTATGTGTTACAAGAATCTGTAACAGAAACTCCATGGGTGCAAACTTTGCTTTCAAAGAACTGTTTCTAAATTTATTTTCCCCAGTTAGCATTATATTGCTGTACAGCACAGGTTCTGGGATATCAGGAAGGTACAACAAACAGTGGGAGCTTTTTATGAACTTAAAGGCCTGTTTCCCATAGGAGCCCAATCTGAATATTCTTGGAGAAAGATGCTAAGTGGAGCCTTCCTGTTTGGGCTGATCTTCCTATTGGTGGATTCCCCATCCACCTTAGGGCTTGGAAAGGTAATGAATGTCTGGGGAGGACCCTGCCACCGGTCCTGTGGTTTCCTCACTTCCCACTTTTCCTAACATCAAAGGTGTGAGGTAGGGGAGGCTGACTGTACTTCTCAGGGATCCATAGGATAGTCTTTTCTGAAGCCCAAAACAACAGGGGTGGGCAGAGTGGTGATGCAGGTCATCCCTGCCTTTCAATTAATCACAACATTTAGTCTTCATTGGGGCATCTTCTTTCTTCCCTCTCTTTCATTCCAAGATAATGTGGATGTTCAGCTGTCTGTGTAATTTCTTCCTTGTCTTTCAGATCGTCCTCTTAGTTCTTTGGCCAGAGTGGGACATCATGGGGAAGAGATGTAAGGTGGCTCTGGCTGGGAGGCGCCACCTGCTGAGTCCCTGGAATGTGAGGATGGAGGTCACTCATGAGACTTTTATCACTGTCCCTGCAGGTCTCAGGAACTGTTCTTCCACCATGGAAATACCAAGGTCCTAACTGAAGCTTCGCCCCTGGAGCCTGAAGTAGCACTGAGTGGCATGGGCCAAAGTAAAGGGCATTCATGAGGTCAGTGTTCTGGAATGACCCTTTTCTGTGAGGCCTTGGAGGAATCCTGAACTGAATCTAGATTTTTGGGTTCCAAGATCATGCATCTGTCACCCTTCTGCCCTTCTTCTTCCTACTAGTGTATGTCATGAGTCCCTGTGTCCAGGACAGTGTCCAGAAATTCTGCTAAGACCTGACTCCTTCCAGTCCCAAACTGTCTACTTTCCTGTGGCCAAGCCCTGACCCCATAAGAGGTCATTTCCCAGTCTTTCTCTTCCAACTGCAGTCTCCACAGTCTACAGAAGACAAATGCTCAGATTTTCACTTTTCTTTTTCTTCTTAAAAAAAGTTTTAAAATGTAAAATAAAACTGAGATACAGATAACAACACAAACGTATGATTTACTAAATCATTTAAGACAAAACCCATGTAATGCCCACTCAGGTCAGGTAACGGAACTTTCCCAGCTACCACAGCCTGTGTGCTGCAGGCTGATCAAAGGCCCTTCCTCCTGTGGATGGTAGTCGTATCCTGACCTTGACGGGAACCAGTTTTGGATATTTCTTTAGCTGTTTTCTATGTCTCTTATACTTCACAGGTTTCTCCCCCGTGCCTTTCTTTTCCTAGTGATTAGTGTGTTGGAAAGCCTGAGCTGTTTGACCTGCAGAGCTTTCTGTAGTCTGGATTTTGCTGATGACAGATACCAGGGACAGTTTAACACATCCCCCTCTCCTTCTGCGAGCCAACATCTGAATGCAGAGGCTGGATCAGGCTTAGCTTTGGTTCCTTTAGAAAATGTATAGGTGGTGGTGTGGGTTTTGGCCACTAGGAACACAATGTCCACTTGTCTGTCTTTTTGTGGCATTAGGAATCACTGATGCTCATTGCTGAGGTCCCTCGGTTCACTGGGGATTGCAGGTTGGTATTCTAATTCTAACCTTCCTTCATTTATATGCTTTATTGCAGCATCTAAATAATGTTTCTGTATTTTCATGTAACATTGCTCTTGAAAAGTCTGATGATAATCTAATTATTAAGTCATTCTTTTTGCTGGGACGCTCTGGTGATATTTTCTTTTTTCCTATGGTGTCCAGAAATTTTATTAGAATATATATCTACTATGTGTTCATTTAAAAAAATTTTAGGAATGTTTTATAGAGTTACATTCTTTCAGTATTTCCTTTGGGTCTTCCTATTCAGGAACTCATCATTTACATGTTAGGGTTTTTTTCTTTTTTTGCATATCTTCAGTATTTCTCATTTTTTCCTTGAATCCTTTAAGACTCATTTCTTTTTTATTAAAATTTTTTCTTCTTTTCACCTTCTCTCCTTCTACTGAGGTATTCTTCATTATGTTTATTTGTTCTGTTCCTTCTAGTTTACTCTTCATTTCTGAAATAGATTTAAACATTTTTTCTGATTATTTTCTGAGCATTGCTATCATACTCCTGAGATTTTCTATTTTTTAAAATAAATTATTATTTTTATTTGATAAATTGACATTATATCTTGTAAATTTAGGGTATAGCTGTGTTACTGTGATTCATTTTTATATTGTAGTATGATTGTCACTGTGTCATTATTTTATGTCTTCTAATACTCTTAGTGACTTTGAGATTGTTTTGAAATAGATTATAATTTAGTATTTTTTAAAGATTTTATTTATTTATCTTTAGAGGGGAAAGGAAGGAGATAGGGAGAGAAATATCAATGTATGGTTGCCTCTCATGTGTCCCCTGCTGGGAACTGGCCTGCAACCCAGGCAATGTGCCTTGACTGGAAATCGAACCGCGATATTCTGGTTAATTTAGTATTTTTGATAGCATATTTTTCTGGTGTGCCTCCATTGTAAAGATTTTGTTCTGCTTCCTGCATTTCTTCTTACATGAACTTTGTAGGAGATGCAGCTTTTGCCCTTTTCCATTGCTCTGTCTGTACGACCTTCATTGTCCTGGGCTTTAGGAGGAGGCACAGGCCCGGAGCCTGTCTTTGACTTTAGGGCTCTCTCTTCTGTTCTTTCTTGTAGTGCTTGACAATATGAACATTTGCCTTTTGAGAGTTCAAGTTTCCACCTCTCACTTTGAACTTCCTTCTCTCCATGTCCCTGTCTGGCTCATTCTTGATTCTACCATCTCAATTTCTCCTCAGTGTAGGGTGCTGCCCTGGGAAGGTGCCTGGAGGGGCAGTTTAGAGACTTTGCATGGGTGAGACTATGCCATGCCCTTCTGGCCTCCCCAGGGCCACTGTGTGCACCTGATTTTCGAGTAGGAAGACCGCCCCCCAACCCCTCGGTTTCATCTGCTCTCCTTGCATTGCTTTGCTGTGGTTTTAAAGGAGTGCCTGTCAGCTGGCTGGCACCTACCACATCCTCAGATGTGTGGAGTGCCTGGTTGCTCCCTTGCACCAACAGAACAGTCACTGATTCCAGGCAAACCATGTGACTCTTAGTGTTTTGTCCCCACCAACTTGTATTTAAGGTTTATAAACTAGGTGACAGGGAAGTACCCTGTCACCTAGTTTTGTTGAAAATATATTTTTTAATCAAGATTACTTTATTAAAATTTTTTATTGATTATGCCATTACATTTGTTCTATTTCTCCTCCTTCGTTCCCCTCCACCCTGCACATCCCTCCCCCACCATTTCCCCTCTTTAGTTCATGAACACGTGTCTCAGGTTCTTTAGATTCTATATTTCCCCTACTATTCTTACCCTCCCCCCTATCTATTTTCTGTCTACTGTCTATGTTACTTATTTTCTGTACCTTCTCCTCCCTTCTCCTACTCCCACTCCCCTGTTGCTAACCCTCCACGTGATCTTCATTTCTATGGTTCACTCCTGATCTAGCTGTCCTCTTAATTTGCTTTTGTTTTAGGTGTGGTTGTTAATAACTGTGAGTTTGCTGTCCTTTCACTGTTCATCTTTTTTATCTTCTTTTTCTTAGATAAGTCCCTTTAACATTTCATATAGTAAGGACTTGGTGATGATGAACTCCTTGAATTTGATCTTATCTGAGAAGCACTTTATCTGCCCTTCCATTCTAAATGAAAGCTTTGCTGGATAGAGTAATCTTGGATGTAGGTCTTTGGATTTCATGACTTGGAATACTTCTTTCCAGCCCTTTCTTGCCTGTAAGGTCTCTTTTGAGAAATCAGCTGACAATCTGATGAGAACTCCTTTGTAGGTGACTGTCCCCTTATCTCTTGCTGCTTCTAGGATTCTCTCCTTCATTTTAATCTTGGATAATGTAATGATGATGTGCCTTGGTGTGTTCCTTCTTGGGTCCAACTTCTTTGGGACTCTCTGAGCTTCCTGGATTTCCTGGAAGTCTATTTCCTTTGCCAGATTGGGGAAATTCTCTTTTATTATTTGTTCAAATAAGGTTTCCACTCGTGACTGTTCCTCTCCCTCTTCTGGTACCCCTATAATTCAGATGTTGGAGCATTTAAAGATGTCCTGGTGGTTCCTAAGCCTCTTCTCATTTTTTTTTTTGAATTTTTGTTTCTTATTTTTCTGTTTGGCCATTATTTGCTTTCTTCTGGTCCACTCCTTTGATTTGAGTCCCAGTTTCCTTTCTATTACTATTGGTTTCCTGTGCATTTCTCTTCATTTCAATTAGTTTAGCCTTCATATGTTCCTGTAATTGGTGACTAAAATCAACCAGTTTTGTGAGCATCCTGATCACCGGTGTTTTGAACTGTGCATTTGAAAGCTTGGCTATTTTTCATCACTTAGATTTATCGGCTCTGGGGCTCTGAGTTGTTCTTGAGCCATGTTTTTATCTGTTTGTGCCTGTTAATGATGAGGAGCGGAACCTTAGTTGTTTACTAGGGTGGGGCCACCCAAGTCACTGGTTTGTGATGCTGTTTGTGGGGGCGGGGTCAGAGAGGAAGCAATGGCAGTCCTCTCCGCTCGCCCAGTCTGCCTCACCGCTCACCCCCGCCTGTTTATCTGAGCACAAATGTGCGCACCTGCAGCCCTGCACTGGGGCCTGCGCAGTCTGTCTCAATGCTCACCTCTTCACTGGTTTATCTGTGGTCAAATGCGAGACTGACCACAGACAGCCAGCCGCGCCTCTTCCCTGTGTCTGTCCTTAGCTAGCCCGCACCTGGGATCCGTGCCCTCGGCTGCCTGGGCACCGCCCCAATTGGGGATCTTTTTTGCCCAACTCAGTCCACGGCTGGCTTTGCCCCTCTCACCGGTTTAGCTGAGTGGTTCATGATTTTCTGACTTCATATTGTTAATTTTCTGTGTGGTTTGGTTTGTTTATTGTTGTTAAAACTTTGTTGTTTTTAGATTTGGTTGTGCAAGGATGCAAAGTGTTTCCACCTATGCCTCCATCTTGGCGGAAGTCGAAAATATTTTTAATATACTTTTAAAAATAAAGCTTTCACAGGCATCCCTTGGAGATATTGCAAGTTCGGTCCTAGACCACCACAATAAAGTATCTCAACAAAGCAAGTCACGTGAATGTTTGGGTTTCCCAGAGCATGTAAAAGGAATGTTTCCACTGTACTGTTCTGTGAAGTATACAGTAGCATCATGTCTAAAAGTAATGTATGGACTTCCGCCAAGATGGAGGTATAGGTGGATGTGCTGTGCCTTCTCACACAACCAAGTTTAGGGACAACTAAATATTAGCATCAGAAAACACAACCAGAACACGGAAAATTAAACTTTTCAGAAGTCCGTTAACAACAAATTCTTCAGCCCGACCGGTAAGGGGCGAAACCGGCGTCTGGTGAGGGGTTGCACAGGAGGACTCGGTCGGACGGACCCAGGCGCGGAATCCAGACATGTGAATCCAGATGCACGGGTTCCAAATGCAGGATTGGACCTAGTGAGCGAACGAGCAACCCACCCGGTGAGCGACTGCAGAGGAGACAGTGGGGAGGCGGTGCTGCGTGTTGACTGTGGTCGCCTATTTGCGCGAGCGGACAGGCGAGGGAGTGGGCGGTTGGACCGGCTGCGGCGGTAGAGGGCGCTGCCATTTCCCCGCTCTGACCACGCCTCCACATACAGCGTCACAACCCAGCGACCTGGGACTCCAAGGCGCCGCTTCTCACACTTAAAGGGCCAGAACAGACCAAAAATGTTGCAAGAAGACCTCAAAGCCCCAGAGATAAATCTAAGCGATGAAGAAATAGCAAAACTCTCAGACACACAGTTTAAAACACTGGTCCTCAGGATCCTCACAGATCTGGTTGATTATAGCCACAAATTAGAGAAACATATGAAGGCTAAACTAATGGAAATGAATGGAATTCCACAGGAAACCAATAGCGATGAAAAGGAAACTGGGACTCAAATCAATGGAGTGGACCAGAAGAAAGCAAATAATGGCCAAACAGAAAAGAATCAAGGAGCAAGAATTCAAAGAAATGAGGAGAGTCTTAGGAACCTCCAGGACATCTTTAAATGCTCCAATATCCGAATTATAGGGGTACCAGAAGGGGAAGAGGAACAGCCACAAGTGCAAAACTTATTTGAACAAATAATAAAAGAAAATTTCCCCAATCTGGCAAAGGAAATAGACTTCCAAGAAATCCAAGAAGCTCAGAGAGTCCCAAAAAAGTTGGACTCAAGAAGAAACACACCAAGGCACATCATAATTACATTAGCCAAAATTAAAATGAAGGAGAGAATCCTAGAAGCAGCAAGAGCTAAGGGACAATCACCTACAAAGGAGTCCCCATCAGATAGTCAGCAGATTTCTCAAAAGAGACCTTACAGCAAGAAGGGGCTGGAAAGAAATATTCCAAGTCATGAAATCTAAAGACCTACAACCAAGATTGCTCTATCCAGCAAAACTCATTTAGAATGGAAGGACAGATAAGGTGCTTCTCAGATAAGATCAAATTCAGGAGTTCATCATCACCAAGCCCTTATTATATGAAATGTTAAAGGGCCTTATCTAAGAAAAAGAAGTTAAAGAAACATGAACAGTGAAAGGACAACAAGCTCACAGTTATTAACAACCACACCTAAAACGAAAGCAAACTAAAAGGACAGCTAGATCAGGAGTGGAAACATAGAAATGAAGATCTCAAGGAGGGTTAGCAACAGGGGAGTGGGAGGAGGAGAAGGGGGGAGAAGGTACAGAAAATAAGTAGCATAGACAGTAGATAGAAAATAGTTGGGGGGGGCAAGAATAGCATGGGAAATATAGAACCTAAAGGACTTGAGACACATGGACATAAACTAGAGGGGGGTAATGGTGGGGATGGGGGGCAGGGTGGAGGGGAATGAAGGGGGAATAGAACAACTGTAACAGCATAATCAATTTAAAAAATAAATAAATAAATAAATAAATAAAAATAAAAGTAATGTAT